GACCGAGAGCTAGTGGAAGCGTAGTAGACTCCAGACCTTTGCTCACAGAAGTCTTTGGAACTCCATCTTCAGAGAGAAACGTGGAAATTTTGCTCTGAATGGGACAAAGGCATCCACCGATGAGACTCTTAGAGCTGGCAAGTAGGTCAGATCAGTCCAAAACTAGAGATTGGAGGGAAAGGCGTCACGAAAGTCACAGGCAGAAAGGAGATGGTCGCCATTCCAAAGTGCTATTAGATTTCTTCATAGCTCTTATCACTAAATCAATGCATTTTCTTCATTTTTTTAAAAAAATTTTTTTGCCTATCTATTCTTGGTTTTCCCTTCTGTACTCATCACCCTCAACCCCCAAACTGGAAAGTGAACTTGAGAGTGGGCCCTTGGCCTGCCTTGTTCGCCATTTATATTCCCAGCCCCTGAAACATTGTTTAGTACTTAGTAATGTTCTCATATATTTATTCAATGAAAGAAAATGACAACAAACTCCTATAGTTCTTCCTAAAACCAACAGAGTCCTTACTTTACTTTCCTTCACTCTAGAAAACCCACAGAAGGGTCATATCCAGGGACATCATGGAAGTACCATAATGTATCTACAGCTGCCTCATTGGTGGACAGCCCAGAGCAAAGGACAGACAGCTAGAGACCGGGCCCAGCACCTTCAAGAGGGTGACCGGTGTTAGCAGGGATGAAGGCTGCCTCTGCCACAATGGTCCCCGAATGCTTCAGGGAATTGGAGACAGGAATCTTTGCGGGCAAGGCTGAGCATACTGCAACATATGTTCTTGGTGCTAAATCACTTGCTGGGTGTGCAGGAGCCTGTGGGGGCTGAGGGAGTGTGCTGGAAAACGTTCCCTCTGTCTCCAACTAAGTGGTTTCCTGAGGAAATGAGAAATGGAGGTGGGGTGGGTAGGAAGAAATGAAAAAATTCCAGTAAGGAAAAAAAAAATGACTTTTTTTTTTTTTTGGAAAAGGGAGAGTTATTGGCAGACCTGAAAGTCCAGGACCTCTGTGTATTAGAAATACAAAAAGCTTTTTAAAATAAATAAATAATATTTAAAAACCATGGGGCTGGAGCCAGTAGCATAAGCACTCAAAAGGCAACACTTTTAAACTGAGGGGTTTGGGGAAGAGCTGGGACCAAGTGGTCAGAACCCAGGGCTCATACCCTCCCCCCCTCAGCCTGGCAGGGCAGGTACTTTCTGCCATCCATTAACATAGTTTATAGTTAAATTGCTGGACCCCATGTGGACTGAAAGGGCCTCTTTATCTTTAAACAAACAGATGAGGAAGGAGGCTCTCCCCAACCCCAGCCGAGACCTGTATTTGTGAGACCACACCATGGGTTTTTCCATTCCAGCTATCAATCTTCCCTTGTTTGTGCTTCAAGAGAAAAAAGAGAAGTGCTGGAGGCAGGAGGAGGCATCAGAAAGGTAACTCGGCTCTATTTCAGCGGACCTGGAAATAGGTGACTTGGTCCGA